GCAGGGAGTAAGGTGTAAGAAGATGAGAAAGACTAAGAAGGGGCTTCAGGGGTGAGGAACCTTTGGCCTTGAGGCCACAAGTTGCCCTCTAGGTCCTCAAGTTCCTCCCTTCACTGAACAAATCCCCTTAATAAAAAAAATTGTTCTGTAAAACTTGGACTCAGTCAAAAGGCCACATCCAAGGACCCAGAGGGCCACATGTGGTGTGGTCTTGAGGCTGCAGTTTCCCCACCCCTGGCTAGGTTATGAAGGCCTTTGAATGCCAAACCGAGGATTTTGGTTTTGATCCTAGAGGTAACAGGGAGTCACTGGACTTATATTCGAGTATGAGAGTGATATGTGCTTTAGAAAAATCACTTTAACTGTGATGAATGGAGGACTGACTGGATTTAGGGGGAAACTTAAGCCAGGCAGACCCAGCAGTAGGCTATTGCAACACAAAAGATAGTACCCTCAACAGTAACAGTAAAGTGGTCAAGAGGGGGAGGTTCTGAGGGGAAAAGATAATAACTTCTGTTTTGGACATTCTGAGATTGAGACACACCTATAAACCATCCAATTCAAGATGTCTAAGAGGCAGTCGGTTAAAATAAACTCAGAATACCTCAGACATAAGTTAATAAAAAATTATTTTAAAATAAATATATATTACATATTTATATGGTAGATTAGATGGTCAGATTTTTTCTTTCTATATAACATTTTTATTTTATTTACTAAGACGGCAAATTTAAGAAGGAAAGATATTTCTCTATTCCCACCCTACTCCAGGTCAAAAGCACCACACATTTCTCTTTTAAGCTCTATGAAGAATCAAATAAAAGTTGTTTTCCTTTAATTTGTTATAATAGTTAAAGATATACCAGTTTTGAACAAAAATTTTTATTTCTCTAATTTCTTACACCCAAAAAAGCTTTGTTTTGACATCCCTTTTGAGTAGTTTTATCTAATAATCTATAACACTGCTTTCCAGAGCTAAAGCTTAAAAAATCCCTAACGTGATTTCACTAATATGTCATGAAACACACTGCTAGATTTCTTCATCCGTATTAAAAACTTAGATTAGGGCTTAGGAACAAAACTGTATTCAGAGTAAGAAAGAGGAAATGATCTTGTGACATAGAAGTTACAGTACATAAGGGGAGAAAGTTGCATGAAACATCTTTTCCTCGAATTCACAGTCATTATGAAGCAGTTAGCTATAGTAGAAAGAGCACTGGATTAGGAGAGACCTAATGCCACTCCTGATACTTACATGCTCTTACACCACAGACAAATTACTCCTTTTGGACTATCTTTCTTTACTTGCAAAATGGGGTCAATCATATGTACCTTACAGGGTTCCTGTAAGGATCAAATATAAAGAACTTTGTAACCCTTAAAGAGCTGTATAAAATGTCAGCTCTGTGACATGTAACCTACACAAAGGAACTAAAAATTATGACATTTCAGTGTCAGGCTTAAACTAAATCACAGGGCAATCAATATACTTCCCAATTTCATAGTGAAAAATATTTTTATTTCAGAACAGCCAGCTTCCAAATGGATCTTACAAGCAAAAGGGACAGGGGGGTAGTAATAATAGTTGGTAAATACAATGGGTGTCACTTGACAAAAGTCCCCGGACCGCACCAGTATTTTAATAGGCACTTTAAGGCTGCTTAATTCTACAAACACCTGTTCACTCTATACACCCCCAAAACAATGGCAACTAAATTCCACCAATTTATCACCCCAATCTCTTGTTCACCTAAATCCCGTTATACAGAACTATCACCTTTTTCCCCTGGCCACCTCTAACATCCACCACCATCATGCCTGCCAAACTCAGCCCAAACTGCCCTTCCAATAACATCCTCTTCTATGACCTTTGGAACCTCACCATTCAATTATTAACAAACTTCATTTCACCCTCTGGTTCTTGCTCTTAGACTACTTTTACCTCCTAGCTATAAGCAAATTTGGCTTTCCCCTAAAATATACCAATCATCCCTTACCATGCCCCCTCTCCTGTCCCCAAACTCCTAGCTCCCCAATGAAATTGGCAGACTTGCTATGCCCTGTGACCATCAACTCAACAACCTTAGAAGTTCATAACATCTGATTATATCAACCTCTCATGATCCTTATCACTTTCAGGACCCTCCTATACCACCTTCCTCAATAACTTTGATATTTGACTGTTTTCTCCTCACCCCCACTTCCTACTACCCACTTCACCAACTTCCAGAGTGATGAGTTTCTAACACTACTATGAACTATTTCTTACCTGCTCAATTCCTACGACCTCCATCTCCAACATCTTTATTTACAGCGCTTTTGAAATACCAAGAGCTTTCCTCACAAAAAGCTCTGTGAGGTAGGTATTGCAAGTATGGTAATACAGTAGACTCTGAATTTGGAGTCAGATAACTTGGGTTCAAAACCTATCTTTGTAATTTAACCTGTGTGATCTCTGACAAGTCACATACCTTCTCTAGGCCACAATTTCCTCAACTGTAAAATGAGGGGGTTATACAAGATGGCTTCTAAGGTAGCACCAGCTCTAAATATATGATGCTATGATACCCATTTTACAAATAAGGAAACAATCTCAGAGAGGCTAAATGATTTGCCCAAGGTCACACTACTATGCATTTCTCTCAAATCTGCTTTACCTCCAAGATCCTTACCTCAAGAGCCTTACCTTTCTGACTGATAATTCCTTTTACCTCTATCAAAGCCTCACTTTTGCTGCACCTACTCTTCATCTTCATCCAGTCCCACGATCTATCTTTTCTCCCCATTCTATCACTGACATCCTTGCTTCGTTTCCAGCCCTCTATAATCTTGAACCTTCAATTTTTTAAAAAATTTCAATGATGCACTCTCTTTTCTCCAATTCATCCCTGACTTTGTTCTGCCTCTGCTCCTGCCCTGCTAATTCCATCCTGGATAATCTCTACCATCCAACTACTCTTGAGTTGCTGACTGTTGTTGAAGTAAGTCAAAGCCATGCTCACGAGGGTCATTACAAATTCATGCTCTCTTTGAACTGGGTCCTCCAAGTCCTATGCTCTTTCTACTACACCACTTCTCCCTCCTCTCCACTGACAGCATCAGAGTGGCAAGGAACCTCAGAGACCATTAGCCTCAACCTGTACCCAAACATGATCACCTCTACATTGTACCTGCTTACAAGTGGTCTGCCTTTATTTAAAGACTTCTTCCTATTGAGGGAGAACCCATTACTTCACACTACTGACTTGGTTTAGGGGTGCACTACTTACGACCAATCTTGTTGAAAAAGCACTGGTTTTTTTGTGTTCTTTTTTTAAGATCAATAGCAACTTCTTCTTTCCTACAGAAGCTCGTGGTGACATTTAAGGGCCTCTTTCCTTCCTTACAGACCTCATTCCTTCCTCATAGACCTCATTCCTTCCTCATAGACCTTTACCTTTCTTATAGACCTCATTCCCATACACCTTCCTTCTACACTCAGATCTCTGAGGTTCTCTTCATTTCTCAGCCTTCTGAAATCCTTTTCTTATTTCCAGACCCTATACTACCTTTTCCAGGGATACTTCCTTTCCCTATCTTACTTCCCTTTGTTTAACCTCTCCTTCTAGATTTCTTTGAAGGAAGAAACTCAAATTTCTTTGAAGGAAGAATATCTCAGCAGCACATTCACATAGTTAACTAGATAATAAGATCTGCCAATACCAACACTTTCACAGTAAACTGAAAACTTATCAAGGCACCACAAAAAAATGTTTTTGTGAACCTAGTAGTTGCACTCTTCCTTTTCCTCCTAATATCTCCCTCCAAAACGCACTTGTCCTTGTCATAATTTTCATGTAACTACTTGTCTGGATGTTTTCTATCATGTGCATATTCATCTGAATCAGTGTCAACTGATTTCTAAAGATGAATGTGCCCTGGATGATTACTGGAGGAACCTTGGAGTCCCTGATAACAGATTAGAGAGAAAGCTTCTCTGATAATTGGGGAGCTCCTGCCCTGCAGGCTGAATGCCCTGCCACAAGCAACTGATTTCCAAAAACTTTGGTAGTTTTTGGTTTTAAGCTTTTAAAACTTTAAAATGCACTTTAAATAAACTTTAAAATTTAAATTTAAAATTTCTACTGGATTTCTAATTTAAAAACCATCTAGCTTAAAAGCAAAAGTACAATGCTTAGCACAATAACCCAGACAAATGCTCATGGATAATGCTGCTGGTTGCTACTTCTCCAGTCAGTTATTATTTCCTCCTTCGGAAACATAAAAAGGAATACAGAAACTTAAACATTGTTCAGAAGCTTAAGGTTTTCAGTTTTTAAAAGGGGCATGGGGTGGAAACACAGACTTTTTTTTAAATTCCTGCTCTGAATGTCTCCATCCTGTCAGTTTCTTGATTGCCTCAATATAGAAAAAAGGAAGAGGGACAGTGGACATGATACATACTAATGCTTAAACCTGTGCTATGAGTAATACACTTTTTTTTAAATACAAAGATGCTGGCCTGAGGATTACATATTTATTGTATATTTATTATATTTTTATTGTCCCTCCCTCCAATCAGCTGGTCCTCTGCGCAATTCCCTTTTCTCTGATGCTATTTTTCACAAGCACTTGGTCATGCCACGCAGGAGAAATACTGACTTTTTCAAAAGCAAAAGATTTAAGATGGGGCATTACGCCCACCCACCCCCTCCTCCAGGGCAGGGCTGTTACTCTAACCAGCCCTTGGGAGCCCGCAGGCTCCTCCGGCCAAGGCCCCCGCCCTTTTCAGATCCCCTCTGGCAGAGTGATGCACGCCCGGGAGCAAGGGAAGAGAAAGCGCAGGGCCAGAGCAGGCCTCCCCAAACCCACCAGTCCAGGAAGAGGGGCAGCGGGCAGGGGAGCCTCACGCCCGCCCTGGAGTTACCCGGCAGTGAAAGTCGGGAAGGGGGAGGGGAGAGGGGAGGCTGGGAAGGGCCGCCCCCAATCGGAGGACGGCGCCCCCCGGGGGGGTCGCTTACCGCCCCAAATGCCCAGCTTCAGCTGGGACTTGTCCAGGTTCTCCACGTAGTCCCCCAGGAAGCGATTGAGGAGATCCGCGACCACCGACTCCAGCACCATGGCTTGACTGGAGGTGGGGGAGGAGGGTCAGAGGGGAGGGAAGAGGGAGGTGGCGGAGGAGAGGAGTGGGTGAGAGCCCCGACCCAGAAGAACGCGGTCCTCCAGAATCAGCGGCAGCGGCAGCGGCGGCGGCGGCGGCGGCGGCACTGCGCCGAGGGAAGGATGAAAGGGAAAGGCGGTGTCTGCGGGCAGCGAGGAGAGGATCGTCCCCCGCCCCCCGCTCTCTCCCCACCCTCGGAGCTCCTGCGCGCGTGATCGGAACGTGCGCGCGCGCGCGCTGCTCCGCCGCCTCGCGCTCGAGCTCGAGCTCGAGTTTGCTGCTGCAGACGCGAGACCAGAGCAGGAAAGGAAGCTCTTCTTAAAAGTGGGTAAAGGGTGACGGAGTCTGTAGGCCGCGCCTTCTTTTCCTGAACACCAGTTCTGCTGTCCCGATGCTTTTTTTTAATGTAATCCTAACCAGGTAGTTCATGTCCAGTCACTTCCATTTCAAAGGACCCCAGCTCCAGGAGGTCTTGCAGAAGCTGTCCTTATCCTTCCCCAATAATAGAGAGGGAGTAGAAACTAACCAGGAAATATTCAGGAAAAAAAAAAGAAAGAAAGAAAGAAACCCGGACCTAAAGAGCCAAAGAGGTCCTGCCTCCCCGACTCCTCCACGCACTAAACTCACCCGAGGACCAACTTTTACTTTAGTCCTTGCTCGAGCTACCGTTTAAGCTGCTGGTCAGGTGACATAGTTACTTTATTGGGCTACAAACAGCCTGAGGGTTCACTGTGTTTTGAGCCTAATTCAGTCTTTCGGATCTGTTCCAAACTTTTAAAAGGGAAATAAAGCATAAAGAGAATTAAAAGCAGTGGTATAAAATAAAAGAAGGCAGAATAGGATTTGAAAATGACTTCTGATGAAAAATTATTTTATTTTGCTTCCTTGCTCTGCTCCTGACCAGCCCTGGGCTTAATGAGGTCCATTTCTTGATTGTTTCAGTAAGGGATATTGAAGAGGAGGAGGTGAGACTGGGGCCTACTGTTCTTCCTTCTTAAACCTGTGTTATGGAGTAATATCATTTTCCAAGCAATATCCTAAACTTCAAGGCACCTCTAACCTAATGCCTCTAACTAAAGGGGATAAGGGATACTGGCCATTCAGAAATTGGATAATAGATTTGGAAATTAAAGGAACCTTAGAGGCTATCTCGTTTAAGCCCCTTCTTTTACAGATGAGAAGTTAAGTGATTCCCTTTCTGGTGACATCAAGAAATGTACCTTTTTAGTTGGAGAATGGAAAAAATAATAATAATAAACCCTCTCCCAGAGACTCTCTTTGAAGAGAATTATTTAGCTAATACTTTAGCAATAGTGAAGGGAAATGTTAAGAATTTGTGTACACCTGGTGGAGCAGTGTGTCTGAAAGATTAACAATAAGAAATTCACAAATATTTATTCAGAGCACTATGCTGTCTCTAGGACATAAAGAATTATATGGGATACACAGTCCCTTGCCTTTAAAGAGCTTATTATGATCTAACTAACCAGATAAAGTGCAGAAAAGTTAAATAAGCAAGGAAAAATATAATAATGTAAAATTGCATAAGAGATATAACAATACAGTATGAGATTCATTGCCAAATAAGTGATATTAATACAGAAATGGGAATATCCACCAGGAAGTAATCTTGATAGGTTGGATCTAAAAGGTGGGCAGAGGTATTGCATGCTATAATAACGTCTTGCATTTTTAAATATTTATGTATTTCTAAAGTGCCCGCTTCCTACCTTTCCTGTCTTCTTATTCCTCGCTCCTCTCCAAGTACTTTGTGATCCCATGACACGGGTCCCCTTGCTGCTCCTCACACATCACTCTGTTCCTTGACTCCTGCATTTTTTCTGACTGACCGTGCCTGGAGTTCTTGCCCTCCTTGTATCTGTCTCCTGGCTTCCCTGGTTTCCTTCAGGTCGAAACTAAAGAGGTGGAGCCAAGACGGTGGAGTAAAAGCAGTGACTTGCTTGAGCTGTCCCTCACACCCTTCCCAATACCTGTGAAAAATGGATCTAAACAAATTCTGAAGCAAGAAACTAAAATTCCACCTTCTGCCTGAAGCTGATTACCTCTAGCAGGGGCAGCGAGGTGGTGCATTGGATAGAGCACCGTCCCTGGAGTCAGGAGGACCTGAGTTCATATTTGGTCTCAGATCAGACACTTCACACTAGCTGTGTGACCCTGGGAAGTCACTTAACCCCAATTGCCTCACCCCCCCAAAAAAAAAATTACCTCTAGTCTATCCTGTTTAATATCATTATATAGTTGTTGGCATGTTGTCTCCCTTATAAGACTGTGAGCTTCTTGAGAGCAGGGACAGGTTTTTGCCTTTCTTTGTATCTCAAGTACTAACAACATTTCATGGCACATAATAAGGGCATAATAAATCCATCTTGATTTGCTTGCACACATATTAGCAAATTTAATTCTTCCTTTGATGCTTTTCCATGGCATGGAGGTTCTTGAAAGCTCTTCATTCATTCAATCAATCAATAAGCATTTATTAAGTATCTCCTACATTCCAGGCCTGGTGCTGAGTCCTGGAGATAAAAATTATAATAATAAAAAGGCAATGGACAGTCTCTGCCCTCAAGGAACTCACGATCTAATGGGGGAGACAACAAACAAAAAATATGTTTAACCAAGCCAAATACAGGATAAATAAGAAACAGGGAAGACACTAGAATTAAGAGGGGTTGGGAAAGGCTTTCTGTAAAAGATGGAATTTTAGTTGGGACTTAAAGGAAGCCAGGGAGGTCAGCATTTGCAGTAGGGTAGGGTGAGCATTCCAGGCACCAGGGACAGCCATAGAAAATGCCTATAGATGAGAGAAGGGGTATCTTGTTCCTAAAACACTTAGGAGGCCATTGTCACTGGATCAAAGGGTATGTATTGGGGAGCAATATGTAAGAAAACTGGAAAGGTAGGAGGGGGCTAGGTTGTAAAGGGCTTTGAATGTCAAACAGAGCATTTTATATTTGATCCTGGAGGCAACAGGAAGCCACTGGAGTTTACTGAGTAAGGGAATGACATGGTACACCTGTGCTTTAGGGAATATACTTGATTTCCTAAATGGAGAATGAATTGGAATAGGGAGAGACTTCAGTCAGGCAGACCTACCAGCGGGCTATTGCAGTAATCCAGGCATGAGGTGATAAGGGCCTGCACTAGAATTGAGGCAGTGTCAGAAGAAAAAAGGAGGATGTATTCAAGAGAGTTGCAGAGGAATCACCAGGCCTTGGCAGCAGATTGGATTTGGTGGGTAAGATAGTGAGGAGTCCAGGAAGACACCTAGGTGGTGTGCCTGAGGGACTAGGAGGATGATATTTCCCTCTATGGTAACAGAGATGGTAGAAGAGGGAGAGACAGTTTAGGGGGGAAGATAATGAGTTCTGTTTTAGACATATTGAGTCAAAGATGTTTATTGAATGACCAGTTTGAGATGTCCAAAAGGCAATTGCAGACTTCAGATGGGAAGTCATCAGAGAGTTTGGAGCAGGATAGGTAGATCTGAGAATCATCAGTATAGAGATGATAATTAAATCCATTGGAGTAGATAAGATCACTAAGTGAAGTAGTATAGAAAGAAAAGAGAAGACAGCCTAGGACAGAACTCCAAGGGACACCTCTGGTTACAGAGTGTGATCTGGAAGAGGATCCAGCAAAGGAATCAGAAAAAGAGTGGTCAGAGAGGTAGGAGGAGAACGAGGAGAGAGTGATGACTTGAAAACCTAGAGAGAAGAGAGTATCTGCCAGATCTCATAGCCAACATCCATTGAAGCAACTCCTGTAGAGAAGGGGCCAGCCAGCCTCACCAGCTGCCAACCCAACTGTAACACATAGAGCAAGCAAGCCAACCTAGCTAAAAAAGCAAGGTAAGGTATCATGAAGGAGAGGCAGGAGGCAGCATGTGCCAGACAAGTCAAACCACTACCACCATGACCACCATCTCCTCTCAGATCCTAATGGAGACAGCTTGGGGACCCTGAACCCAAGACTCTTGGGAATAGCAATGTATTCAGCCTAGTTCCCTCAGCCATCATCTTAGGAAGCAAGCCCTGTGGCAAGTTCCCCTTGCTTGGGAAGCAGGCAACCTGACAAGTATTCCTGCAAGTGCTACAGCCATAGCTACTAAAAACTCAGAAAAGAAAGTTCTTGCCACTAAAATCATTGGCACAGTCAAATGGTTTGACATGAGAAACATACCATTTTATCAATGGAAATGGGCATTTAAAAAGAAGCATTAATATCTGCTTTGTTGATGCATTCTAAGGATCATGGGATGTTTCCATCTGACTTAGAATCCAAACCTCCCATATGTGTTATATCCTTCATTAGAATGTAAGCTTCTTGAGAACAGGGACTGTTGTTCATTTCTGTTCATACTCCCAGGACAAAAGCAAAGAACTTTTCATGTCATAAGCACTTAATAAGTGCTTCATTCATTCAGATCTCACCTGGCTAGCAAGACTTCATGAGATATAGACACAGTGACAGTCAGTATGTGTCTCTTGCCTAAGGACCAGCCCAGCTAAGTGTAGAAGGGTTCATCACCAGGATGGCTGCAGAGTAATGAAATTCCACCCATTACAACTGTCAAAGACTACTAAGTCATGGAGGGGTTGCACAGATCCTTGAGGTATACAAGCAATTCTCTCAACTCTTAGAGGTAGACAGGTAGATGTCATCTTAGAGAGGCTGACCTGAGACATAGAAGTTAAATGACATCTCCAGGGTTACATAACTAGCAAAAGGCAGTGTGGTCCAGTGGATTAAACCTAAAACTCTTAGAGTCTCTCACTCAATAACTATATGACCATGGGCAAATCATAACCTCTGTGAGTCTCAATTTCCTTATCCATAAAGTGAAGAAAATCATGTGCGTGTGCATTTTAAACCTTACAGTACTATATAAATATCAGTTTATTCTTATTATTGTTAGTGAGAAAGCTAGAACTTAAACCCAGGTCTCCTAACCCTCATCTGGTGTTTTATGTACCCATCTGCTTCCATTAACACTTCTATTCAGGTCCCTGACTAAACCAACTTTTAAGAACTACACAGTTGGATTTGCTATGGAACTCTA